AGCCAGGCATGCAAAGAGCCTCTCCTTTACGCCCTTCGAGGCTGCTGGGGGGGACTATACCTGCCTTCACAGCGGGATTTAGGCAATGTCTTCAGTCCTACAAAGGATCTCAAAAATTGCACATAATAAAGCACTGAGTTTGAACTATAAAGGACGATTCTCATTGTGTCAATTTGAAATAAATCAACCAAATTTTCATCATTTTAGCTTTAGAGCTGGATTTTATAAATAATATAGTAATATACATAATTGTCAATTAGCCATTTTTAGCAGAAGAAATATAGAAGGGATAAATAGGTATATTATATAGAATATATGTAAAGGAGATTAATATATTAATAAATATAAAGTAGATTAATATTGATTTATGCTATTATGTATTAGTTTACACAATACATTTTTATACAATTATTTATGAGTATTTTAAACTGTAGTAAAAATTAATGCTGATGTAAAGCTAAGATGGTAATAGCTAGGACTTCAGTTCTGCAAATTCCAACAGATTCTTCCCACAACACTAAGCTTATCCACAGCTTAACAATTTTATGTTGCAACATTTTTAACTTCATGTTAAATAAAGCACCATGATTGTAACTTAGAAAGAAAAACAGAAATAAAAATGTTACTGAAGTACTGTATGAGTGAGTTAACAGCATTGTAAGAACTCTGGCTTCTGGAATTTCCTGAGTTTTGAGTGCCTTTGTGACTTGGTACTGCACCAAAACTAAAAATTTCTTTTTAAAGAAAGGAGGGAAAAAAACACCTATTTTGTTTGGGATTTTTCTACATGCTTTTGACTTCCTTAGCACATCTTATAAATTGCCTAAGCACAACCTTACACCTCTTTGTCTAACATCAGCTAAACAGAGAGATAAACTTAATAAGGAGGCCTCAGCAAAAAATGTCACATGCCTTATTGCAGAGCACAGTGTGCTCCCGTTAGCTAGATCCACTACTTTTCACCTACTTTCTGTCTACTGCTCTCTCTAATCCTCATGAATTAGGGCATGCCAATCTGCTCTCTAAACCTTAGTAGCTCCTTGCTCTCATAAAATTAAGACTTAAGTAAAAAATGCCTTTAAAAATATGATATAAAAAAGTGGTCATATGGCTGTGTGAATCTGGACAAGGTATTATACTCACCATACTTACCTTCCCATTTACTCTTGCTCCTCTTGTCTATTTAGACGTAAGCTTTTCACAGCAAGGGCTCTGTGTATACTTCCAATTAATGCTAACATCAAGGCTACCTCAAAGTCGATCCACAGACCACAGGTGTCACAATCTCCTGAAACTCAAGCCCTACCAGCTGCCTACCCGATCCTAGCAGCTCTGCCGACTTCTGAAATACTGAGAGGAAATGCACGCAAGCCTCACGTACTGTCGCCTGTCCCTCTGCTTAACAAGGAAGGAGGTCCAACGCAGACTGCTACCGTGCAAGACAAAGGAAAAAAAAAGCAAAAGAAAAAAGCTTATGGCCAGACTAACGCTGGTTGGGGCACACTGCTTGGTCTCATTAAGGACAATGTCAGTGTGGACACAGCTTACGTGTTTATCATGCACCTTACAGAAAGGAGCCCCAGCTTCTGCAGCTCAACAACGTAAGCCAAGAATCAGGGTCACTCTCAGAAGGAAAGTGGGGGGGGGGGGGGGGGTATGGATTAATTGAAAACACAAAAACTGCTTGTCCCTTCTTTAAATGGGCTTTTTACATTATTAAATGGCTTCTGTCGAGCCTCATGCATATACAGTTCAGACAGACAACCAAAGAAAACTATCATTGTAACTGTTGTTTCCAGATACATGCAAGGCAATTTGCTGAACGCCCTTTAAACTGAAATATCAGAGGCATCTCTCCTTGAATAGCATCAAACTCCTTACAGCAATGCTGTGTGATCCTCAAGTGTGCTTTGTTTTACTGATACAGAAGACATAAACCAGCCTAGAACGTGGTCTTAGAATCGATGTTTATTGTGCAGGTCCCACATACAAAGATATGATATGAAATATATCTGATGTGTGATATGAGAGCAAACAGTAAATGAAAACCAGAAGATTGCTTGTGTATCCGATCTAAATGGTATACAGAGGTACCACAGCAAAGAAAATAAGCCAGGCTGAAAAGAAACTTCACACGCACCACACAAAAGCTATCCTGCACAAAGAGCCATATACAGCATATGTGCTTCTAAATCTCATCCTATTTTGAGGAATTTAATCATGGATAAGCCTTTTGCTGCCACCTGTACAGAAATCGATGTTGCAGAGTACTTCAGGGCAGAGAAAATAAGTAGGCTATCAAACAGTTGAACTAACAGACATGAATTAAACTAGGGATCCAAACTTTACCACGGTAAAAGTTTTATCCACGTTCAATCCTGCAGACGACAATTGCTGTTCAGCGACATTCATTTTAATGTGAAAAATTATTTCAGCTTTGCCCTCTTATTTATCCAGTGTAGAAACTACACACAAGCATAAATGATAGGTACCAGAGAACCAGCCTGTAGCAGACCAAAGCAGTTGTTTCAAGAGCTCTTGCGAGACTGCTAGTCTGATGAGGATGCTCACATCCATCTTATGCTGAGATCACAAACATTTTGTTTGTGAAAACTAGTGTTTTCCTGCGCATCTCAGAGGCATGCCAAAGCGTAGCCCTGGAGGACCACTGACATCTGGTGGTCATTTCAGTCCTTCCCAACAGTACCTGCAGCTCCTGGCAGGCAAGGAGTGCTAGCTGAAGCGCAGAGATCACTGAAGTTTGGGGGGGAAGTAAAACTGCTTCATCAATAATTAGCCTGTATCACAGCCCTCAGGGCTGCTAGTGTGAACTAAACTGGCACACCTCTGGGAATATAAGTGTTCTTATCTAGAACATTAAAAAAAAGAGGGAAGAAAAAATAAAATATAAATTAATTCTAAAGAGAGCTGTCATGTATATTGAATTTTACCATGACTTGACCAGATGATATTTTACAGATGGCCTGACAGAAATACATGCCAGGGAAGCATTAAGTTACAGGCCTTACTCTGTGTTTATTAACTTAGTGGAATTTATTGGTTACGAGTAAATGCAGATGAACTGCAATATACAAACAACAAACTCAGTTAAAGCTGCCAGCACATTAATAGTATTGTTGGATTAAACTTATTCTAGAGATAATAAAGCTTTTCTAAATAGAGCACATTTAATTCAACAAGTTCTTGAGAACAACTGGGTCATGAAATAGAATTATATAAAACCGTCTTTTTGACAAATAAAAAAACCCATTGTTTCCTAGGTAAGATGTTTCTTATTACTGAAAAGGAGCAATGAGATCTAGGTCTTCTTTTGCTAGACAACTAGCACAATATTAAATTACAAGTAAGAATAGTCAACAATTTTATCCATTTTGATATCTGCTAGATGGTGAGACTGCCCAGACAGAAACTGCCTCAGTTCTCTCCAGCAAACTTGAGAGAGGATCTTCTTGACGCTCAAAAGCAATTGTGCAGAGAGACCACAGCCACCAGCACTGGTTCTAAAATGTACTTAGGCCTGTTAGCACTGGTTGTTGATAGGCAAACATTTAAAGCTATGTTTTGCTTGTTGCAGTTATCTACAACTTGTAAACAAAACTCTGAGGCTTTCAGACATTCATCAAGAATACAAAAATCTTACTAAACTGTCATGAGAATTTGCAGCCCTTTCCAATTGCTTTCTTGCTGCAAAATGATTCAAAGTCTACTTTCAGGTAAATGTGCATTTCTCATTGAAACGGGAGCTCAGTTCAAACCTAATAAAACTCTCGGCATCCGCTGAGTAGTGGGAAGTAATCAAAGTGCTTTTCTACACCCTTCCTACGTGCCACAAGGGTGCAGCTTTGCAAAAAATCTGCAGTACAAATCATCTGTCTCCAAACTGACCTGTATTTTTCACTTACCACCAATATGATACCTCTCCATAAATAAACAGATTGCTAAATTACAGTTTCACCTTCAATTTAGGCTACCTAACCAGACTGAAAGATAGTGAACTCTTTTAAATTACTTTTACAAAATGCATGTTGTGCATACGTTTTCTAGTTGGCTGTGGCACGTTGTGGGCAAACACTTCAGAGAGGCACATGCAATTGCTAACACAGCCAAGTCGTGTGCAAAAAATAGCCAGTGCTCAGAGTGGAAACAAGAAAGGGTACATGGAACACTAATATGAAGACAACTCTATCAAACCATCCCAATGAAAGCAGGAAGTGTGCACCGAGATAATTTGGTTTGACTCAGCCAGGGCTTGCAGCTGAGCTGGGTACCTGGCTGAGCCAAAGGCTACTCAGAAGGCTTTCAAAAGACAAGTAGGTTTTTCACTCCCACTTGTATTTCAGCAGAAGTCTAGCACCTGTTGACCGCTGATGCCTCTGGAGAATTTCACTCGTGTGGCCCACAAATCACTGATGTTCATACGTGCTTCAGGTCTCTTCCTGTACTGCTACATGAACATACAGCGAGAAGGCAAAAGTGGCTCCACAAGACTACTTTTTAACACATTCCTAAAGGTCCAACTGCAAATCAATAGACATTAATCAGTACAGAGACACCCACTCCCATACACAACAGGCACAGAGCCTATGTTGCACTTAAATCCTACTCTGAGAATTTAAAGTAAGTGCTATTTTCAGTATTTCAACAATGCTGATTTCTGCACAGTAATGCATTTCACCCACAGTGAAAAGCTGTCACATTGCTGCATATCTATTCAATAAAAGCATTATAATTAGGTCAGCTACTGGGTAAAGGAGACAATAACCACTTTAACAAAGCACTGTTACAGCCCTTATAGGTCCTCATCTGAAAAGAAAGTTTCTTCTTTCCTTTGTTGTCCCCCCAACATATATTTTCCACAAATATCTCAGCAATTGCCAATCCAATTATACAACAACAGGAGACGATTACTGTGTGACAATGTTCTAATTCACAGACATAACCTTTCTTCTACGTTTATATTTTATTGGGGATATTTTCCTGGGGGGTAGAGATGCCCTCCACTCACCACCAGGGACAAACGGGTCTAAAAATAATTTTGCCTGGTTCTAATCGATAACATCACGTTGGCAAACCTCTTCCGAAGACACATGAAAGCAAGGTAACCTATTCCCGCCAGCATGCTGACCAGCAGGGTGGTGCCGAGAACCCTGGGCGCCCTTTTCTTGGCCACGCGGAACGCCGTTGGCAAAACAGCCGAGATTAATATATTGTTGACGTGTCCCAAAACTTTGTAAAATGCTTTTCTCTTCAGGACACGCTCATAATAGGCTTCCAAGTTGGGCCGCTTTCCGTTTCCCCAGTTTCTTCTTGCTAATCCCAGAAACTTCAGGCGATGCAATGTGACGGCAAGTGATACATCTGCCAGACTGAAGAAATCACCACAGAGCCAAGGCTGATTTTCATCTTCTAAGCAGAGATAAAACATAAAGAATTAGGAGCTAATGGAATACATGGGCTCCACGGGCTAACATTTAGTTTAGTGCTATTTCAAAATGCTGTTAATAAATACCACCAACACTTCAGCTAAGATATGACTTTAATCAATGAACATTTTACTAATCCCTGTCCATTCTTCACACAATATTGTAAAGTCTTAGGCTCAGCAGCCTGGCTTACATTTGTTAACAAAAAAGAGCCACATTTCAGGTTCATAAATTAAAACCCACAGTAAACACTTATTTTCCTCAACTACATTTCTCAAATCTGGATTAAATTAAACAGGAGTAGAAAGGAGGAAGGCAGTTTAGCTTTTACTGAAAAGCTACCACTTGTCTGAAGAATTTATCATCTTGTCTGTGTCACTCAGCTCTATGGCATTCACTCAATAACTGCTAATTTGCTGGAGACTTTCAAGTCAAAAAGAAACAGATCAGACGACTGACCTGCACCAAACACACCAGCTCAGCAAGAAGACAGAGTTTGTCTACCCATCCTTCCTTTGTGCCTCCTAGACCACAAACCATGGGGTTTTTACATTGAGAATTTTGAGAAGCAATGGATATTCACACTGCCCACCATTAGTCAGCAGCACAGATGGAGACCCCAGGCTCCCTCTCCGGTCAAAGGAAAGGGGTGAATCTTCCGGGGATGGCTCAGAGCAGGCACTGCCAGGCAGCATCACACCTCTAAGTTCAGTGATCTGAACCACCACCACCTGAAAGGGCTGACCTGTACTGACTACACTGAGAGCTTTTGAAACCCAGGATATGAAATTTGGTAGTTAGCACAGCTGCCAGCATGAGCACTCTGCTCTAGCCTAGATCTCAAACAGGACTATGCCGTTCCCTCCTCATTTGCAACCTTTTGCAGTTCCTCCCACACAACAGGCACGCAAAAGCGCTGGCATGAACATTCAGCAGCACCTCTGTGGAAACAGAGAAATTTTGCAATGTCCCTTTCAACTCATTTGCCACCAGAGGAAAGCAACAGTTTGGCACACCAGCATTACCAGTCCATTTCGACCGGTTATGCAGGTCTGGAAAAAAGGCCTCGGCAGAGAACGAGTGTATCCTATGTTGCTGAAAGGATACCTGGGGATTCATCCAGTGCATTAAGTAAATACGATGATGGAAAGGAAGACCACAGAAGCTAACCTGTGTGAAAGAAAGACGCCTGCAGTGGCAGCAGCAGTAAGTGAATGAGGGATTTGAGCAGTAGCAAGAGAAGCAGAAGTTCAGATGTTGACCAGGACCTGGAGAAGCATTGCTCACAAACCTCAAAAATGTGAATACCTCAGACAAAATTCCAAGAGGCAGGTAATAGCCGTATGTTTTACTAAATCCTGCGATCCTGGTGGTTTTCGTAAGTTCATCAACACTGTATCAGTTGACTCCTTGGAAAGGCTATCTAGCAGAGAAAGCAAACGGGCTGCTGGAAATGATGACAGATTTAGTTTGTTGAACAAAATCCTACCATCCTTTGTGAGTTAAAGGATTTTCTGTGACTCTTTCGCTGTTGAGTCAGTAGAAAATTTAACCTAGATTTTCAATCACTGGTTCAAATCTACTGTCTTGATAGTAACTGATAATTCATAGAATCATAGAATCATTAAGGTTGGAAAAGACCTCTAAGATCATTGAGTCCAACCGTCAACCCAACACCACCATGCCCACTAAACCATGTCCCTAAGCGCCTGATCTACCCGTCTTTTAAACACTTCCAGGGATGGTGACTCAACCACTTCCCTGGGCAGCCTCTTCCAATGTTTAACCACTCTTTCAGTAAAGACATTTTTCCTCACGTCCAATTTAAACCTCCCCTGGTGCAACTTGAGGCCATTTCCTCTCATCCTATTGCTAGTTATTTGGGAGAAGAGACCGACACCCACCTCAGGTGGGATTATTACAACAGCTATTTGTAGAGCCAAATGCAAAGAGTTATTGATTTGAGCAGATGCAGTTGATATTGACTGATGCTTCATGCAGCTCCCAGTGAAGTCAGAGGAAGGATTCCTATTAGCACCACTGGGAGTTGGACCAGACTCTGAATAAGTGGAAGACTAATCCCATTTAAACAAAATTCGACTCTCATTTGGGTGGATGGCAGGTAAACACCACTGCTTTCCAAGAGGGTGGGGGAGGGGGGTTGCTTAATGATTAGAGCACTTACCCAGATTGCTAATTCTGCATATACCACAAATATCAGCACAGTATTTACACAAGATTGTAATAAACCTGTGTTAAACATTAAGGTCGTGATCATTATAGTGAACTGAGGCCTACAACTACAACATCAAGAATAACATTCTGTAGTTAAGGTTTTTCTTATTTTGTTGATAAAATACTGCAAAATTGTGCAGCTAATTATACTCCCTATGCTGAAAACGTGATCAAGCACTCTCATAAGACAGTGAGAACTCAATGACAGCAGCAGTAAACTAAACTAGTATTTAAAACAGTATTGATCCCTTCTGTGATGCTAGATCAGTATATCCTAAAAGTATCAAACTGGATACATTAAAACCGGTTCTATAATAGTGCTGTCAACAAGTTTACTCAGTCTCCCCAAACATAAGCATCAACAGGATTTAGCAAGAATAATTCCTTACCTGGTGTTTCCTCATTTCGCCGCTGCAATTCAGTCTCAACCTGATCCAAAACTTTTTCCAGTTCATCCAATATTTTCTTTAGGTATTTTATATTATCATGATCCAGCAGTTTAGACTAAATATATATACAGGTTAGCGTTTTAATCATTGTACAGAGTTTATACTTTTATCAGAGAACTTTTACTTAGATACTACAGTGCTTATTCATAAAAGGCGATTATTTTCTCCACATAGTCAGCTGGATACCATTTGGATACTGGTGACAATTCACGTAACAGAAGAAAAACATTGGAGATGCTAGACATCAAGGTCTGCCTCACCCTGCAGGGTGCTCAACAGCCCAACACCAGCACAGATGTGTCCTTTGGAGTCAGTGGGACCAGTCCAATACTTCAGCACACACTTGAAGTGTGTAGCTGATCTGGGGGACAGACTGCTTCATGCCTTGTAGGGTTAAACCACTGCATGACATTACTGGTAATGACAGGTGAAACAAATGTTTACATCGTGGCAGAAAAAATCTGACACTAACAAGCTCGTAATAAACGGGGGAATACACAGAGTTTTCTTACTTTCAGGCGCTTCTGTTTTGCTATATAGGCATCTTGAAGGTCTGGATTTTCTTCCGCAAGTTTCTTCAACTCCGATTCTGTGTTACTTATTTGGCCTGATACAAAAAACCAAAGGAATAACATTAGATATCCAAACGTACCCGTAACGCAACCCACAGGAACTAATCAATAGCTTGTGTACCAATACCACACCGAAGAAATGGGAAGTGGTACTTCAGTGAAGCATCACCACCAAGTTGGGATTCAAAACCACCATGCTTTGGAAAACTTAACTGCTGCATAAATTGACCCCACCCACACCTTCTTCTCAACAGTTTGCAAAGAACTCTATAAATTGGTGATCTGCCAGGCAAGAATGAGGAATTCTTGTTAATATTTTTCTCTTATTCAGATAAAACCATTTTGCTGCCAAAAACTGTGCTAAATCCATGAAATTCTACTACAAATATCTTAGGACTCTGATGTTTTTGTACCTCAGTTCCTGGGTTCCTAACACACTTTTCATGCTGTGAAAGCGCAGACAGGCCCATAATGAGATTTTCTGTAGGCCACCGTAGGTCACATGCATAATTCCACAACAGAAGCCTAAATACCACTGAATATGGAACGAAGGTGTTTTCAGTTAGCTAAAATGTGACACCAAAATCTGTGATCCCTTTTGGAAATGTTCATTACAGAGTATATGGATGTTCTAGAAAAAGATTCATTATATGACTTAAAGAAGGAATGATGTGAAAAATTTAAGATAATTTTACTGATTTCTACTACATGTGTATAGATAGCCTTTCTCTCCTTAAAATGGGGCTTTGCTTGAAAATGCCATACTTACAGACCCAGATTACCAAAAGATAGTGAATAATAAGTTATCTTATCTTCTAAAAATAAATATTTCTAGTAATAAACTGAGAAGAAAAGAATAGTTATAGGGCATGAATCACCTCTCACTTGTACTTGATAATTAAGATTAGTTCAAATTAAGTCTTATAAATTAAACTGATAAAAAATTCTTGCTAGAGAATAATGAATTCACTGTTTTATATATTCTTTGTTTCATCCTGACATGACTGTGAAAGCCATCTTCCAACATAGTATATGAAGAAATTGAAGGATGTTATCACACAACTAAAAGCTTACATATGCAATTAATTACTTAACTGGATTTGTATGCATAAACATAATACATAACTGGCTGGCGGCTTATTATATCTAGCAGGCTGAAAAAGATCAGCTTTTCAAAGCTGAAAACTAAACCATCCGGGAGAAGTTTGAACAAGCAAAGGAATTGTTTAGGAACATCCATGAGCTATTCAAAAAAATGCCTCAAATCAAGAAAGCAGGCTATGCTTTAAGTATAAAAAGATAAGAAAACACCCCAATTTAGACAAGTAGTAATTTTAGCTCTACCAATATGGACGTGTGTGTGTAAGCTGACAGCAATTTATACCAACTAGAAGCTAGAGGGGAAGAATACATACAGTCAGCAGAACACAAGACAACGTTGTAAAGTGAACCGTAATAAATGCACTATTATTACCGTGTGAAAACAGAAAAAATATCAATAATGCCTACGAATAAAGTACAATTGTTCAATAAACAGTCAGCATCCACATTTGGGGAAAAAAAAGAAACAAAAACCAGACAGTACACTGATACAAGAGAATAATTCATGTTAATTCCGTAAAAAAAATGCTAATTACTCTTCCTGAAATTACCCATTCTAAAATCTCTCCAGATACTTTTTTACAAAAAATTTATTTTTAATCATTGATCATTGGACCAGCAACACTGACTTCTAAATACTTTGCAATGCTCAAGAAGTTTCCAGCAGACAGAACGAAAACTAATTCTGCCCTGATGTTTTATAAAGGATAACGCATGCAACTGTAAAGAAAACTAACTGCCTGACTTCACTTCTGACAACACAATGGCGTGGCTAATATGAGAACTGACTTGCCAAAAATTTTAAGGCGTAGGATAACAGTTTGTTGGAAACAGAACTTCTCAAAGTAACACAGTATCAGCTTTTATGATATTATGAATTTGGTAATAGTATAGTTGTATTACATTTCAAAGTCTCTGCAGTATTTGACTTTGTTCTACAGAGCATTCTAAAATATCATACAAAAAAATCAACACGATACAAAGCACTGACCGACCAAAAAAGAAATCAGAGATCTCAGAACATAACTGTAAACAGGGAATCGTCATCCAGCCTTGTTCTCGGGATTGGATCCTTGTCCTAGAACTATTTAGTTCTTTCGTAATACTTAGAAGGAAACATAAAAGCATTAAAGTTTGCCATGGTACAAAGACTAGAAGGGACATAAATCAAGAAAAAACATGGCACTGATACCCAGTGGTCTGGACTGGTTGATAAACTGGCCCTAAGCAACCAACTGATGTTTCAACACAGTCCAATGTAAAATATAAATTGAAGCAAAAGATACAGGCCATGTTTCTTGGCGAGAGGACTGAAGCAAAAGATACAGGCCATGTTTCTTGGCGAGAGGACTGTAAGTTTACAAGCAGTTCTGAAAAGCTAGACTGAGGTCATGATCCACGACCAGCTGAACAAGGATTCCCAGTGCAGTTCTGTGGCTGAAAGTAATGCTGGAGTCTTTGGACATACAGTATCTTCCAGCTACTGAGAATAACGATTTAAATATTTATCTCCCTATCTGACACCAAAGTGAACAGAAAAAAAAGAGCTATGAGAACTGAAAGATTATTTGCCAAGGATTTTTCTGAATATCACTGAACGTTGTTTAAACTAAGTATTTCTGCAAACTACTGGATTTGAAACAGGAGTTCATTTCAGGAGGTTCTCCGTTATAAAGGGGACTGTGCAACATTATCTACAGTTATTTCCTCTGCCCTTAATGTATTTTTTCATGGGAAACTGGTATGTATATAAAAGTCCATCAGGTAAAATACCGATCCCAAGGAAGTCAAAGAACATTTTACCATTGATTCTATCAGACCACCGTTTGGGTTTTTTTCTCCCTACCCCCAGCACCAAGTGGACACTAGTACATTCCTCAGACAAAAAGGGCCTTATAACATATTAGATAAACAGACCCTGTTTCACTGAGGCTAATCTGCATTTGCACCACTTTGAGAGGAAACCAATTGCTTTAATTTAATAGGTAAACTTATTACAAGTTTACAATCACAAAAAAATGGGTTTCCTTCAGTGTGGTGGTTCGATGTGAGCAGTAATAGAGCTGTTCCCTATAAATTGCTTTATAAGCATAAGCAGCAAGATCAGAAAATAAAATACTCACAGCTGTCACAGCTGCCATTTTCTGTTATGCACAAGAAGCACATTTTCCATCATTAGGAAAATTAATGCCACAGACAGCTCAAAAATGACACTTCCTCTTTCCCGTTTTCAAATCATAACAGACTACAAAATCAATAAAAAGTATACACACAAATTATCAAGGACTGCAACTAAAATTGGAAATCTGTGCTCAATATATTCCGCTCAAGGTGCACTGAAGACACAAGATGAATGTAACGCGACATCCTATTAACTGATAGGCATTCAGAGCTGTACCAGTACATACTACGAATTCTGCTGGTAGCATAGGCTGGAATCATGGAGTCCACCGTTAACTCGGGGTGCAGGATGCAGCCATGCGTGTAGGCATCCATAGGCAAGGAGTCTAAAAGCTCTCTATAGTGTTGCACCCTTGGATAATACATGCTCCCTTCTTCTGGCATTAATCTTGGTACTTCCTCTGCAACACAAAGTTAAAAATAAAGTTAAGAAAAGAAGAACCATGTAATTGACCAAAAGCAGTATTTCCAAAGTTACTTTGGTTACGTCCAACTGGCACAGATGGCACAGCCACAGTTAAGAAAGATTCACTTATTACCCACCGTAACTCAATAGCGTTATCACAGCTCAGAGAAACACATATACACGTACTTCATTTTAAAACGTTTGAATAATTCCAATTCCTACGCAGCAACCCACATAAACATGTACTTAAGAGGCCTTCAAATCAGAAAACTAGATTCAGCATCTATTTTGTACTTCTAGGAATGGGCGACCATGGCACACAACCCTTTAGCCCTCTCACAGTAGGGCACAACTGAAGTTCTAGTAAGTTGTTACAGCTGAAACATTACTGCAGCTGCAATGCTGCAAAAATTACAGTACGGGAATCCTACTCAAAGCATGATTAGAAGTATTCCTGCACACTACTGAGTTTTACCCTGCCCTCGATCTACCTGGCCCCCCATTTGATGAAAACGCCAGCATTAAATACATATTATGCTCACGCAACAACGAAGTTTTCTTCATGCCTTAGAAACCGCAGCGCTAAACCCCTGAAACACAAAATGCTGCCTCTTCACACCTGAAAAAATACAACTCTGCATTTCCTTCAAAAACTGAGGCAGTCTGTTTTCTGGCAATACAGACACAAACAATTTCAAAAGCCTGCACGCGATCACTTCCGAGTTCTTTCTTCCTACTTCTTTACCTCTTCACTCCATTTTGGCTCCAAAAATAACTTACTCATTCTACTTCCTTTTCTCCACCCAAGATTATTCTGGAATTAAGCATCTATCTTTTTTTTCTCACAGAGAAGCAGGACCTGCCCAACAACAGCAGTTGTGCAGCTCTCTGTTCAAAACATTATTTTTCGCGGCAGTCTCACCACAGGGTTAGCACAGCGCGGCGCTGCCATTACTGAACCCATTTCTCCATCCTTCCTGAAGGGGTGAGGAAGGCAGTGGCAGGTTCTCACTCACAGCTACTTGTAAAGGTGCTGGAAGGCCCTCAGTTCATTTTAAAGGAACGTGTTTTTACCCCATATCACCAACTATTAGGAGAGCCCATTTACTCGTGAGACTATAAACGTTTTCTGGTCCTGAACGAACCAGCACGTGGCGATACGGAGCTGACCCCAACACCGCTGCACGCAACGGGTACGTGGGGAAGGATTTCACACCGAAACGCCTACGGGATTACCATCTACAAACGTCGCTTCAAGGTAATCGATAATCTGCGTTGCCTCACAAATGATGTTTTCCCCATGGATCAGGACAGGTACTTCTCCAGAGGAATTTAAGCGCATGAACCATGGTTCGTTGTGCTCGCTCAGCGGCAGGTTTACATCGTGCTCTTCGCACTTCAGGGCTTTTTCGGCTATTGCCAAGCGCACCTGCAACGGTATCATCGGGGTTACCCCAGGAGAAGCACTCCCCGGACAGCTGTCCCCGCTCTGTGGAGCCGGCCCGGCCCGGTCCGGCCCCGGCTCCCCGGCCC